AATATTAATCATATTTTGTAACGTATACAAAGCAACATTTATTTTTCCAATTGATTAAAGGTTATAATTACTTTCATAAAAAAAAAAAATGTAAGAATAGATATATGTCGTTCAGCGGCGCCAGAAAACTTACGAAAAAGGGTGCTCAAGATATAAAAACAGGCATCGCACATTGCGTAAAGGGCTTCAAACTCTGATTCAACGCCAGGTCAACGTTCCCACAATTGTTTGTTTAGTTATAGCAACACTTCGGCGATCTGCCTAGGGAGATGCCTTCCGGGAGGTCTTTTTTTTAAGGGAAACTGGCCCCTACTTAGGTGTTACAGATGTGGAGAAAACCCGGAAAACTCCACATGGCCAGCCCGTCCGAGCGAGGCGCGAATCCACGACCGAACTTCCAGTGTTCAGGGTACGAAGACCGCTTGGCCACTGGTAGGCCCACGCTCCCACAAAGTAGCGCTGGTTGCGCTTGGGTCTAAGAAGGGTTTTTTTATTTGTTATTTTAGGTTTCTTCCACTAAAAGAGCACTAAAAGGCCAGTGGATTAGTGGCGTTATATATGAATAGTCAAAAATGTCTACAAAGAAATCCATAGTTTTAAAAATGTGTAGACGTTTTGTGCACGATTATTGGGCTTAATATTATTTATTTTATTAACTTGAGAATGTGTAATGGTAAATTGTAATAATTGCAATTCAGAATGTTCCATTATGAAATACAGATCAAGCACTAGCCATCCTTTCAATATTACTTTGCAAACAGAAAGTTTTCATTGCACGAATGCTATACGAATACTTTTTACACTCACTGTATGTTTATATTAAAATGGTAATGAAATTTGTAAAATTAATACCATATATTAATTTCACAAATTCATGTTTTTTAAAAATAATCTATGATGAGCGTTTCTTTTTTTGCTTTTAGTTGGAAAATTTAAAGGAAAAATAAAGCAAAATTAACTCGGATTAGCGAGAGTACACTATACAAAACACATTGACGACCGGATAAAGGAGAACATAAAGGCATCATTCTGGAAAGGCCGAATGGCAGAGTGAATTCTCGAAACAGGGTCGTCGAGAGCTCGTATGGAGCCTGGTGTAGAGTGAGTCATGTTTGTCCCTTAGTGGATTCTTTTGTCTTTTATTCGTTCAAAACAAATTTTTGTTTTGAATAAAGGAAATACATAAAATGCAGTATTTCTTTATTAATAAAAACCAGTCTTAAAGATTTTATTTTATGTTAGTAAAAATAACATTAGGTGTAATTTATAGTGGTAAGCGCCTGAATTTTCTCCGGAGCGGTGGAAAACTCTTCAGCTTTCCCTTCTTCGACGGTCCTACCTTGGAGTAAATCGCCTTTAATTACATTACGAATGGTTGTAAAAAATCAGAAATATAAAATAGTTTATTTTACTTCATATAGTATTGATAAACTGTTTATAATACGCTATAGCCTATTAAAAAAGAAAATATGATTCTTTGTAAAACTGAATGAGTCATAAAGTTCAGTTACAGTGTTTCAAATACGAAACAATTATTAAATAGGGGTTCAAATTAAGTTATTAATAGTTAACAGAATCAAGCAACTATTGTAGCGAAGTAAAAATATATTGTACTTTACATGTACTAAAATGATTAGCGTGGTTCTTTTAAATTAATAAATGTCCTCTTCACTGAAATGATAATGCAAATAAATAAAATAAAATACCAAGTAATCATATTTGAGAATGAATTGCTGTTTTTTTTAGAAATTGGAATTTAATTCTAATTCAACTAATGAGCGAACAAATTAATTAATTATTTGTTAAAAATTTATCTTTAAAATTTCAAAGAAAACTATTAACATTGTTCATTATTATAATTAGAGTAAGCTGCTTTTGTACTTGCTTCGATATATTCAAAACTTTCAATTGACTGTTTAGAATGAATTATATAAATTAATATTATCAAGCGCCTTCTTTTTCTCAGATATTTCTCATTTTTGAACGTATTTTCGTACGACCGGATTTTTATAAATATAATAAAACAAAATAAATAGAAACAAGATTGAAAATATAAGAAGTTTTGTACGAGTATTTTCTTTTTTACATTATAAAATAAAATTTGTAAAAATTGAATATTTATATTGTATTACATTTTCATCAAAACTTCCCTTGGGTGTCCTTTTTTCTTTTTTTTTTAATGATTTGGTTATGGTAATCCTATCTAAATAATAATGAAAACATTTCTTTCACTTGAAATTTATTGCACTTTTATAATGAAAGCTTTGGATATTTTGGCTACATCTATTAAGAAGGAAAATATATTTTAATATGCTGGAGTATTCTAAAAAATTTTTTTAGATAATTTAAGAACCAGAAAACTAAAAATATTAAATATATAAATTACATTTTTTTTATATAAAGATATAAATTAAATGAGAATTACAAATGCATATTATTAATAAAAAGATGTAATCTCATTGCATATTAAAACTTATAAAAAACACATCCATTAAGGATCTTCAACAAAAAATTTCGATTATAATTTACCTAATTTAATGATGCATAAAATATTTTAAATTATTATAATCAATAATAATTATTTATTTTAATCTGAAATTTCTTGAAATAAAACTTAATTAATCTCTTTTCATTTAATAATATTTGAATAAATGTATTATTAAAATTATATATATTTTTTTTAATTAATAAACTATGTATTAAAAAGTTATTTTCAATGCCATAACAGTATTTATTATACTGTATTAAATTATAACTAAAATTTAATTATTTTCTTGGTATTATAAAATTTTCAGAATTGTAATTTTTTTTCTGCATTTTAATTATTTTATCATTACAATTTACAGCATTATAATTTATTCTAAAGATATTTAAATAATTATATAATGATGGAAACGTAGAAACATATTTTCATTATTGTAATCAATGAAAGTATAAAGCTGTATATTGAAAAATTATTTTGTGTGACTGCCTTTTAAGTTCTGATGGAAAGTTAAAACTGTGTAAAATGAAAATAAGGAAATTTTTTAATTAATAAAATATATAAAAGATTATATATTTGCTTTTCATTGAATTATAGCAGTTATATCTTATTTGTTAGCAAGATATTAGCATTATGAATTAGTCTGATTATCATATTCCCATGGCTTAAAAAAACATTCCTTCCATTTTTATTTACTCAACAATTATCTATTTACATAAATTATTATTATATATATTACTAATTTATGTAAATAAATTAAAAACTAAAATAAAAATAAATGTCATTGTTTTATAAGAAGATTGAAAATTAAACTGTTTTTAAATATGTAAAATAATTATTATTTTGATGCATTTATTTGCAAGAGAAATGAAAATTTATTTAATTAAAATAAAATTAAATTGACTTTTATGTAATTTAATAAATTATAAATCATTTGGAACA